GGCAGGCGTGGCCGGGACGGCTGCCTGCGGGCTGGGCCCGCTTAACGGGCCCGGCCTGGGCTGGAGGTGCTAACGCTGGCCTGAAGCGACCGGCTTGATGCCCTGGCGGATAGGAGTCCCCAGACCCGGGGGATCCGGAGCAGACTCGCCAGGAGAGCCGCCTCACCTGGTGCCCGGAGAAGGGGGGTGGTTTGCTTTTGGCCTTGTCTCACAGAAGACAGATGGTTTCTTGTCATTTCACCATTTTTGCCATCTCCTGCATGGTGTTGCTTAAATAAATCTTCCCTTTCTTGGCCCCCACTACACTGCGTTGTTCCTAATGTGTCTGTATCGTGTCAGAAGTTGTGAATCGCACACAGCAGAAGGTTCTTCATGAGCATGAAGAGCACTGGGGAGCGCTTGCAGGACGGATCTTCTAATTAGAAGACAGTTAAGTGACTAAGTGTTTTGAAAATGTCTAGGGTGAGAATTTACTTGTTAACTTTTTGCGCAATGCCAGACCGTGTGGTTGCCTTGCGAATCGTATATAATGCTCTCGCAAGGTATGTAAAAAGCTCGGGTTGAAGCCGTGTGCCACCGAGGAGGGGAAGTGCAGCTGAGCCTCGGTGGCAGTGCCAAGCCTGTAGCTTTCAGTGTGGTGTTACAGTTTTGAATATGCATTCCCAAGAGATGCAGGCTCTGAAGTAGTGTTGGTTCAATATGTGAATTATTCCCATCTGAGTGGAAACCCTCAGTAAAATACAAGGCTTAAAAGGAGAGAGACGTCGTCTCCTCCGTCTGCAGGCACACTAGCCTCCCAGACCAGAAGAAGGAGGTCATGTCTTCTTTAGAGATCTTAATTTCCATTTTCATGAAAGGTGACGATAGTAAATACTTCTGTCGTGCCTGAGCATCGTGAACACAGGCTGTCCGAGGCACCGAAGAATCTTTACATGAGTGTTGGTCACCTTGCTCCGTTCCCCCATTGCTCTGTTTGTGGCATGCCAGAAGGTCTCAAGAGCCAATGAGCGGAGAAAATTTGGAAACTGGGATAAAACAAGTAGGAACAACATGTGTAGGGTGAGAAACCAGGATGGAAATTACTGCATCATGCTAATTTGGGACCTTGCATTACTTGTTATAAACATTCACCGACATGTACCCACCTAAGTGCCCTTGCTGTGGTCAGGCTCTTTACCTCGTGGTAAAAATCTGCTGCTGTTGCCTTGAATGACTTGCAGCTGCAGTGGTTGTATAAAAGCAGTAAGTGATTTCCTTGCATAGCAAAGTCCTGTTACATTTTGATAAGCCCTCACAATTAAATACCGTATATTTGCTGAATGACATATTAAATAAATGGAAATTGGGTAAACGCAGGTTTTATATTCTGAAACTGGTTTATGCCAGAATAAAATTGGACTTTTATTTGATCATCAGCATTTCTAGGAAAAAAACCTAAGATCCGATCGGTGTGTACGTCAGTATTGCCATGTGGGACAGTTGATGATTCTTAATTAAGTTGGAGATTATTGTATTTGAAGAATTACAAGAAGCAGAGTCTTGTTAGAGGGAGATATCAAGAGATAGTATAAAATGGGGAAACAACGGCTGCGGGGAAATTATTAATAGATTTCGTCAAAGACAGGGACTTGGGCTGATCTCGCTCGGTATTTTAGTTGATGACCTTGGTGCATAAAATAGGATGCAGTAATGATGTTTGATGATGACCCAAAGCTGGGAACCATTTGCAGGGCCAAAGAGGACTGAGATATCCTACAGGAAAAATGGAGTGATGTTGAGTGTCAGAGTTAAGTAATACCTGTGGGCTGAAATTCAGCATGTAAGGTTTGGGGCTAGTACCAAGGAAAAAGGAGTTCAGTAACAGGAAAGAAGAGAGACTTGGATGTAGTAATGGATCACAGGATGTGAGCAACCGCTTTATGACAGTGAAAAAAGAAATTGTGATCCTCGGTGTGCAGCAGAAGAGCTCCTTCAAAGAGAGACACAAAAGTGTGGACTTTCTTGTACAAGGCTGTGAGAGCCGAACCTGGGATCGTATGCATCAGCTCTGGTCACGCGTTAAAAAAAAAAAAAGGGGGGGGTGTGCAGACTTCAGGAAGTGCCAAGAGCTGTTGGGATGGTGAAGTAAGTGGAGAGTGAAGAGTTTAAGCTTGTTTTCCTAGGCAAGCTAAAGCTAAGAAGGGATGTAACAGTTTAAAAGCCCGCATTAGGTATGGTATTCCTGCAGAGTTTGTAATTGGGACCTACAGTCTCCAGTGCCGTGTATTGAAAAGACTCCTGTAAATTCTGGGAATTCCTGTGATCACTTGGTGGGCAAAGCCCCCAGGGACAGGAGAGACTCTCAGCTGAAATAGTGATGTGTTTGTGACTCCGTGCTTTCTTTCCTGGAGGCTAAATGTATTATCCAAGCTCCACTGCCATGCCATCCAGAGGAGGGAAAAAAATAATGTAGAGCACCTCCTTTTTGCTTGAGGGAAGTGTGTTGCAGTGCCAGCCTTGATGCAGACGTGGGTTCGATGTGAGTCAGGAAGCTGACTAAGAAGCCAGACACCATGGTTGTCCTCCTTCACCCAAAGACATGTTCGTGATTACAAATAACGCAGAGAATCAGCCGTGTAGAAGAGATCCTGTATTCTTAGGAGGACTCTGCTGCCTCCCCAAACTGCCAGCAGGAAGTTATGTGTGATCAGAACTTTTTTTTTTCTTTTGTTTTGCCTCTTGAAACTTTATTCTGAGTGATGGAGAATGCCACAGCATGGCATCGCATCTTCTGTGCAGTTACCTGTAGTATCTTAACTAGTCCAGATGTATTTAACTTCCTTTTTGGATTTCAGTCAGCAAAAGTGAATGCTGTGTCCTCTGCGCTGCTGCTGCATCTTCTGAAAGCTTCATCGGAATCCGCTGAAGCCGAGGCGGAAGGGGGATGGATGCGCTGGTTTGGCTCCCCTTGTGCCCATGTGGCCATAAGTAAGAGTCAACAAAAGCCGCCACCAGTTGGCAGTTTCAAATTTAAAAACAATGTCAGCGCTTTTTTTCTTAAGTTCCAGGTGGCTAAGCTGTCGATCAAAATCGTTGTTATACATGAATGTGGCACTGAATCCATGTATAACAAGACTCTTGATGGACAGCTTTTTAAAAAAAGAGTGATTGGGATGGGAACTCTGCCATTCCTGTAGTGCCGGCAGTTACTCATGTAGGATGCTACCTAGTGCACAGGCAGGGGGAGCTCCTTTTCTCTTCACTCTCGGGTTCTTTTGTGCCTGATTACCACTACGGTTTGTAATAATGTATGGCAGCTTTCACCAAAAGTGTGTTACTTTGGTAACTCTTCCTCTGTATTGAGATTACTTCTCTGGTTTGCTGAGTTGTTTGCTTTTATCTGGGGTGACGAAAATGGGTGTGCTGTGGGATTGCTGAGATTCTGACTCCATCCTGAAAAATATTTTTCAGATCTCACTTTCCAGTTGAGAAATGTTTTCTGGCGTCTCTTCAAGAAGAGAGATCTGTGAACCTCTGTGACTGACTTGAAACTAAGGGCTGTGTTTACTTGCTTCTAAATTACATAATCTCCAGTTGTTGCTTGAAGGAGGGGAGAAAAACAATTTATCATTACTGCAAAGCAAGCCTTTCTTTCATCTGATACCGGTTTCATTTCTTCACCTCTTCTCTGTGGTTTCACATTCCTAGCTGTCCCATCCCACATGTTTCTTCCTCCTCTGTCTCCTAGTAGACAAAGCTTATTTGTAAATCCTGTTTTCTTTGTAAGGCATTTTTGCAGCTGTGGTTCTGCTCTCAAATGACTAATTGCCTCCTCAGAAAATTCGGAAAAAATTAATAGCCATATTTTTTAACCCAATCTCCAATTTATTTAAGAGAAATATATTTAACGTTTCTTATATCTGCATTTTTCACCCTCTTTTAATTATTTTTCAGGGTTTGGGTATCTCCTAATTGAGGAGAGTCAAAATACTGATTGCAAGTGAATCCTCCTCAGTCAGCCTGTTGGATGTCTCTGAGAACATAAGAAGTCATGGCAGAAAATGATGTAATGCCAACCTTACCAAAAAAGTGTGGCCCGTACATTTCATCTGTAACCAGTCGTGGCATGAATTTGGTAATTCGTGGTATAGTGCTGTTTTTTATTGGCGTATTTCTTGCATTAGTATTAAACTTGCTTCAGATCCAGAGAAACGTTACTCTCTTCCCCCCCGATGTGATCACAAGCATCTTCTCCTCAGCTTGGTGGGTGCCACCTTGCTGTGGCACAGCATCAGGTAAGTTCAGTCGTGTACGTATGCCTGGTGTGGAGATGAAAGGGTGGATAGGTAGTTATACAGTTGCAAAAAAAAAATATGAAAGGTGTGGAAGATAAAAATTTCTCTTACAGCATCACTGCCCTTTTTGAGCTATTACTATTCTTCTGATCTCCCCGTGTAAACACAAATATGCATGCACGTGTCCAGAAATTGTTGTTCTGCCAAATTGTTTTACTGTAAGCTCTGCTAACAATATTATCCTTTGCTTTTTCTGCTGGGTTAGAGTACAAGTTTAACAGACTTTAGAAGGTGACGCCACTTGTAACCTTGAGGCTGGATTTCAGTAGTGTGCTCTACAGGCAGCCCTTGAAAATACCCTGGAAGCATCAGGTTGTGCAGCACACAGTACCTTGTTTTGAGCGCAGCAAACCACCTTGAGTAACACTCCCTTTTGCGGTCTAGCTTTCCATTTGTTCCTCATTCCAGTTTGAGGTATCACTTTAGCTCCGTAAAGCTGGGAGACCTGACTGTGTCTCAGGGAGTTGAGGCCAGGCACGCAGTTTGCGGTTGTAGAGGCATGTTGCAGAACAGAGCACCTTGGTTAGATTCACGTATCAAGTTGGATGATGTGAACATGCTCCATTTCTCCTATGACCACGTCGGGAGTTGGGGCTTTTGTGTGTTCAGCTAGTTTAAGTGAGATGTCTGCTGTAGGTCGTAAGAAATAACCCTTTTTCCTCTTCATTCATCTTCAAGTATCAAGGCATGTTCCATGTTACAAGCCGGATGGAATTTGGCTTTCTACTTGGCTCTGAAGATCACTGATCCCATGGGTCAGTTTTACGCTTTACTAAGGGAATATTCTTCTCAGCCAGTACTGGAGGATTCTGCTTTAGCGAACCTTTACAGTAAAGGCGGTATCTTCCTAGGGGTCAATTTTAAAAAGATTGAGAAGCTCACATTTCTGGGTATTAATATGAGTCAATAAACTAGCTTTTGAGTTGGCATTACTGTTTTGCTAATGATAATATTTAAGTCTATTTTTTCCCTAGTCGTCCAATTGCTTTCTTTTTGATACCTTGTTGAAATACTACACGCCAAATGTCATAGAGGAGCTTGATTTGAAAGGAAACCCTCCAAATATCTCTCTCTGAACCGGTTCGTTTTGTTCTACTATGGAAATGCATTTGGTGTATTATGGTGGCAGTTACATACCTGTTTATCTGCTAGTTGTCTTAGTCCTCTTTCTGTTACCCTGCTGAGATTGTGGATTAGTTACTGGATTGGATCCTGCATTTGCTGTACTTTTCTTTTATACTTTAAACTGATTTGTCTTAACAAACACGTCTGGTAAAGGTTTGATCTTTTATATGGAGTAGTGGGGGTTGAAATGACAGAATCCCAACTTGCAGCAGCAATGCATAAGGTCTGCAATGTTCAACTGTAATGTTTGCACTGTCAGCTGCTTGCATCAGGCTGCACCTTATGCTCTCTGGGGTCGTCTGAGAACACTGGCTGCAGCTGTGTATGGGGAAGTTGGGAAGGCTAGGTCTTGCCATCATCTTAGAAGAAACTTGTGGGCCTTTCTGGTTCTGATGGGTTGGTGGTTTTGATGGAAAGACTGGGTATGGCTTGTAAAGTGTAGTCAGGCACCTGCTAGGTATTTGCACTACTTGATTTTAAGCCACCCGATTTAAAGATATTGCTGCCTTAATTGGCTTTTCCCAGCAGGAGTGACCCCTGTTGGGGTGTTCGAGTTCTTTCTTTTTCATTATCAGTCTTTTCTTCTCCATTTTCTTTCTGCTCTGCTAGCGTACATACAGGGAACCTCTGTGGTAAATGCTGATAATTCACCCGTTTTCTTACCATTCGTAGTTGCACAGCCTTCCTGGAATTGACACGAACATTTCTCTGTAGTATGGTTTATTATTATGAACAGAATAAAGGTATTTTGCATATTTATAATCAGTGGTGATCGAGGCTGCTTTCAGAGGAGTCCTTTCATCCGTCACTGTTATTAGTCATCAGTTTGGCCCAATGCCTTTGGCAAGAAAATTGCTCAGGGAGCTTTTTTTTTTCTCTCCAGCTTTACTGGTGATTTATTTTCCCGAATCCTGGAGATCAGTTTCCTCTCTGGCAGAATAAAGAGCATTTGCCATAACATACCTCCAACAGCATGCCAGACTGAGGGCACTCGAGTCCGTACCGATGACTCAGGCTCTGTCCTGCCCCCCTCGCCCCCAGCACCAGTTTAACATTAAGCACCAGTGTTACTCCTCAGCTGTGTTGCTAACAGTCTTTTCAGCTGCAATTGCAGTACAGAACAAATTTATGAAGAAAAGTTCAAAGAGCATAGCAGTTCCCTGGGGTTGAAAGTCCTGTTTGCTTTCTGTATTCAACAGCTACTGTAGGCTCTTGGCTTTCCCTCTTCTGTGTGAGCCTTTATAGTAACACTGAAGAAGAGAAAAACATTATCCAAACAAAAACTGCTTGTAACAACAAAAGAAGACATAAAATATTGATGTTATAAACCATGCTCTGCCCTTACTGTGGTGTGTTTGTTTTGCAGTTACTTAAACATGTATGTTTGATATGTGGGATTTTCAAAAGTGCCAGCCTGCAAGCTATTACTGCTCTTTTTGATCTACGATGTGAGACTGCAGATTTTGGTAGGATGCAGAGCTCTTTCATCCTCTGCCCCTAGTTCAAATTGTCTCTGTTTTGCTACTTCTACCAGGTCACTGCTGCAGTCGTTGAAGATGCTGCTGAAGTTTTACAGGGCTTTTTTAAAGAATGAAATTGTTTGAAATTCCTCCTTTTTTACAATGTATGTTTTGTACTATTGATCCTTAAAAGATCTGTTTTGGTAGTCGCAGTAATTGTCAAAGTCTAGATAGTCTTTATTTTAGTTAAATATAGCCAGTGCTTTAACTTCTGGGCCTTTTTTCTTTCCTGTCTCCACAGCTGTGATTGGGTTATTGTACCCATGCATGGACAGACATCTGGGAGAGCCACATAAATTTAAGAGAGAATGGTCCAGTGTAATGCGATGTGTAGCTGTCTTTGTGGGAATAAATCATGCCAGCGCTGTATCCTATATTCTAATGAAATTAGCGGTAACAAATGAGTTTCCACTAAAACAAAGCTCAGATAGTCAGTCATGGTGAATTGTTGTTAAAGATATAACATGCAGCATTTTTGCAAAGGAAATGCAGAATATGTGTAAGTGTTAAACTGTCGTAGCAGTATTGGAGGTGATGAGTCTCATGTCTTTTCATTCTGAAAAATCTTTTCATTAGAAATGTCTCAATATTGGGCTTTGTCTTACTTTATAGTCTTTATTTTCTTTGAATAATTAAAGTAAGTGCGGGGAAATATTTGTGTGGTAGGTATTACAGAAAAGTGCTTTAAGACATTCCAAGGGTTGATGTCCTTCTAACACCATGGTAAGAGGTTGAAGCCCAGTCTTGAGGTCATCAGTGAAGCACATGCACTTTGCAAAGAATGGGGACAACTCAGGACCAGGTAATACCCAGGACTACGCAAAGCGGTAAGCGCTGTTACCCCATTCTGCAAATGATGCCTTGATGCTGAGAGAGTAGTTACCATTCCCGTGGTCATTTGGTAAGAGCAATTACGAGTCAGTCAGTGTGTTGCAGTACATTATAGTCTTCCTAATCATGTAGCAATTCAGATACATCCTTGCACAAGTGTGCTCAAAACTGGCGTCCCTTCCCTGTGAAGCAGCTGGGGACATGCTGGGTGACAGGGTGTTTTTCACGTGGACTGACACACCTTGCTGGCAGTGCTGTGAGTCTTAGTAGTTTTGTGTAGTCACGTCTAGTGCCTCCTCTGTCACATAAAACCAGGCTCTCTCTGTGAAAACTAGGTTCTTGTAAGCTAATTAGAAAGAAAGTTGATCATCTCTGGAACTCTCATCTCCTTCAGTGTCAGCTCCAACACAGTTTGCAGAAACCATGCTAAAAAGTTCTGATTGCGTGCTGCTGAACCTCCTCATTTCCAGGAAAAGGGGGCAAGTTAAGTGAAAGATGTGAGTGCTGGCTGAATTCTTCCTGAGGTGGCTTGGCCCTGGGATGGGTTTTGTCATAGTTTGGCTTTGTTCCCACCAGCCATCCTATCCACTATGGCCAGATGAGCTGGAGCTGCCAAGGCTCAGAGTCATTCCCACTGTCCCTCACAAACCTTGCTCTCCTTGCCAAAGATGCATTAATCTGGTCCTGTGGTTCTCACCGACCTGGACTGTACCTGTTGTGTAAGCACATGCAACTTCGCTGCTTTTAAGAAATACAAGAGAATTGACAGCTTCTCTCTGCATGGGTCAGATTATTTACAGCAAACCTTCTTGCAGTTTTCTAACAGCTCTTAACACATATTCCAGGACATCATTAATGTACTGTCTGTATTTCCTCCTTGACAGCTCTCCAGACTGCTTTCTTTTCAGCTTATTACCAGTTCTGCACATTACCATATTTGGTGTGTGTTTTGGTCTTGTTTGACATTTTTTCTGATGCTATTGATTTTTATCCTGTAATTATTTATTTAAGCTAGTTGAACTTCTTTCTTGTTTCCTCTAGGTCTCTCTCCAGGTCTTTGTGAGAAAATAGGGCACGGTTGTTATGTTGTCATCCCATAAATTTGCTTTCAGGCTTATGAAACTTGACAGCCTCCTTTTTAATAATCTGTTTTGGACAGGAGTAGTGAGGATGAGTTAGTATTTTCAGAACATTTTGAAGAATGTGGAAGACTGCAAAGGTACCTGGAGTGACTTCATACTTTTATCACAGAGTTGACAAAACTGATTTTCAATGTTGATTTACATTAATATTTTCACAGTAATATTATTTACATTTTGTTTTCTAGAAAACATTAACATTTTTAATGTTTAGCTGAATGTTTGCTATCGTATAAATTAAACAAAATTGCAATTAAGTGTGACAAGTACCTTTTTTCAGTAAATCCTTGTCATTTAGAGAAGTCTAATGCTAGATTTAAGATTTCATGCTTAGTGTAATAAAGGTCCAGGTAAGGATGAGATGTCCTTACTCTGAACAGTAACATGTGCATTGTATGTCTGTATAAAACGCCTGCATTATCTGGTAGGTGTGTAGTCTCTTTGCTCTTGTACAGTGCTAAGACCCTAAAAATGTGAAGGAGTGTCGTAAGTTTTTGGTTTCCTGATGTATTTGTAACACGAGGCTTATTTCTTTATACCTGGTAGCTGTGTTACAGCTGATACTGCTAGTGCTGTATTGTCTATCGTATTTTTTTCTGTTGTGCCAAAATATGATAAACAGAATGAAGAAAACTGCTTTACCCTTGTATATCATATTTCCAAGCTTATCCTTAACAATCAACACAGAAAGTGGATTTTGCCAACAATATCCAGTTGTCTCTCACATTAGCAGCCCTGTCAATTGGACTGTGGTGGACATTTGATAGATCACGAAGTGGCTTTGGTCTTGGAGTAGGAATTGCTTTCCTGGCCACACTGGTCTCACAACTTCTGGTCTACAATGGAGTTTATCAGTAAGTATTTACTCCTTTAAGGTTAAATGATAGTCTCCTGAATCTATAACATAAATAATAACTGAATAGGGTAGAATTTGACATGATTTTCAAAGCTGTCAGCACTCAGTTTTGAGTGCAACGTAAATCGGACTGTTCATGAAAGCTTTTGTGTGTTTGTAAGTGAGGCTTTTAGTTGGAAGTTGTTTATTTCAATAAAATTGCTACCTTATCAGAATGTAACGTGCTTTTTTTAGTTGAACAAATGGGATTATAATCAATAAGAAGCTTTCTTTGTTATTTGCCGCAAGTAATTAAATTTCAATAATACATGTCTTTTTTAGTTGAAATGTCCTAATATTTAAATTTGTGGATTTGTCTCATGTGATTGGAGGACTCTCTGTATTGCACAACGTTGAGCTCAAAAACGTGTGTTCTTTTCCAGGTACACATCTCCAGATTTCCTTTATGTTCGTTCCTGGTTGCCATGCATATTTTTTGCTGGTGGAATAACTATGGGCAATATCGGCAGGCAGCTGGCAATGGTAAGTCTGGAGGGGGGATTGATTGCCTTCTAGTAAAAGTTTTAATCTACGTGTCATTCTTTCCTTCATATATACCAACCAGCTATTTGACTTGTGGATGTGGAGTAAGGCAGAAATCAGTAATCATTGCTTTTTGATCTAGTTAGTGAGCCGTTAGTACTGTTACTCAGAGCACACAGCTCATGACTTTGCTCTGTATACTCTCAGTTGCATACTTTTAGTTCTTTCAGGACCAGGAGCTAAATAAGAGCTCCCATGTTTGGGGAGAAGTCAGGCCATCCCCTAAGTCTGCACTGCTCTCTCTGCTGCTCAAGGAGACAGAAATTGCAGCCAAGAGTGTGTGCACAGAACTTAGGGAGACCAGAGTTATCTGGGTGAAGTGTAAGCTAAGCTATTTTATCACCCATTTTGTAGAAAAATCCCCCTCATAGCAGTCTTTGTCATTAGTTATGTAAATTAATATTATTAATTTTGTCAACTTCTGTTTTTCAGTATGAATGCAAAGTCATTGCGGAGAAGTCTCACGAGGACTGAGGAGAAACAATGTGCACCTTTTAAACAGGAAAATATCTGACAAATGGCTGTCGGAGGAGCATAAGGAACACTTGACTATGAAATTGCCAAATGCAATTTTTTTCCCCTGAGTGGTATACTTTACTGCAATCTGTGATTGCTGCTTCTATAGAAACCTTGATGTCTGATTTTGATTACTGTGAAGTTACAATAGTATGCAATACACTTGACAATACTGGTTCAATTATAGGATTCTCTTTTCCAAATCTAAACTGAGTTTACCATAAGTTCTTGTCTGTCCATAATGTTGCAGTGCCAAACTGAACCTTTGCACTATGTTTCTGTAGCTGAAACTTCTGCTTCACTTTATCTCAAAAGTTTTGAGGAATTTGTTCTTAAGAGCTCAGTGAAAGACAGGGGATTCAAATTTAGGAATGAAGATCTTACTTTCCATGATGATAGCCCGTAATATCTTTATGAAATTCATGGATTACAGGTGAGCTTTGATGCAGTAAGTAACTGATTTCTGCCTATTAACACACTGTATCATTCTTACATCACAGGTGAGGAAACTTAATACGGATTGTATGAGTTATTGCCGTATCATTTCATTTGCCTGCGGTACGTGCCCAGTGTCACAGAATACAGAAATGGAAACCGAGACTGGAAATTTGCTATTTTTTCCCCTGGTACAACCAGTATACATGTTTGTATATGAATTTATGTGAACCATCATCAAATGTGGACAGATTCTGAAACTACTTGTTGTGTTGAGTAACAGGATACAATTTGGGTCGTTCTTGTACAATCCCTTAAGCTGACTTGTGGTGATCCCTTATAAAAAAAAAAAAAAATCTTAGGGAGTTTTGATTGCGAAACTTAATTTTGCTGAACTAAATCAGCCACTACCATATAGTGTCATAAAACTCTCCATTACCAATGTTACTCTTGATAGTTCTTGTCTACTACCTGCTCTGTTCGCAGGGATCAGCAGAAGGAGGCGAGGCTGTATTTTAGGTACTGATGTAGCCCTTATTGCTGTGACTATGGTCCAGGCAACCATAAATGCGTTTGTTCTCATAGCAATCTCCTGAGGTAGAGAAATAGTTACCCCTATTTTACAGGTGGCTGTGCACAGAAAGTCTGATAGGACAGAGCTGAAATAGGCTGTGTGCTAATCGGTTCCCTTCTTAAGAAGGCGGCTTTTAGTGTGTCACCCGTATTTGGGGCATACGTGGAATATCCTCTTGGCTTTGCAGCTCCCTTTTAAGACCATGAGATAAAAGAACTTGTGCAAGAAGGCAGAAAGCAGACTTCAAGAGGACACTGCTAACCTGTGCCAGCAGTGAATTTGGCATGGGATGTCTCCACTTTGTTTTCCCCCTTCTGTCTCTCTGTGTTGATGTTGTTTTAATGTATTCGTTTTCCTTTTTTGTCTTGAAGTTCTATTTTTTAAATCTTCCATGAAAGGTTTATAAGACATGTTACAGTCACCTAGGGAGGCTGGAGTCGGTCCAAAGAACAAATAGATGTTTAGACAAGTTTTTATTAATAAATGTGTGTATGCGTTGTACACGAAGCTTGAAATAGGCAACTCTTTTTCAGTCTTAAATGCTTATCTCTAAGTCTGAAAAGTATGCAATGGAGTGCTTCCAAAAGCGTTGTAACAAAAGAGGTGGTCACAAAAAGAAAACTTTTGAATGGGGAAGTGTAAAAATAATAAATAAGCAAATGATGTATAAAGAGCTTGGTTCTGCAGCTCCACAAATTTTCATCAGCTTATCATGGTTCCATGACAATTCAACACCTGAAGCACACTGTCGTTGGGTAATGTTTCAGGAAAGCACTTACAGATGTGCTTTACGTTAAGCAGAGGTAGAACATGTTTAAGTAGATCCCCGACCAGAGATTTTCTTTTAATCAAACCATATGGCAATAAGAAGCATTTTATTAATAAAACCAAGAAACTGTTAGGGCGCGAACTAAGGGTGAGTTTCTTTAGGCAGGCTCTGGCATTTCACTGAAGAAGCTATTGGGTCCCTTTCCGTACAGTATTTGGCCTCATCCGCCGCTTTTACTTAAATGGCTTCAGCTTGGTGGCCAGCGTGATGAGTCCCTCTTGAATTATCAGGGCATGAATGGCATAAAAATTCAGATGTTTCTTATCCTAACTGTAGGGAATAACATGGTACCTCAGTAGCCAGTGTGCTGACTTGGTAAACAATTTACTTTCATCGTGACCAATAAGTGTATACAACTGGAGATGAGTAGTTTTTATTATTCACTTGGTGGTAGAACTGCTTTTACCTGCTGGTCTAAATATTTACACAGAAGAAGCCTTGTGCATGTTAAAATGTGCAGTATGTGAGAAGTGGTTATTGTGCATCTGTGGCACCCACTTTACAACACTTTGCACTCAGATTCACCTAAACCTGATTAGACTGTGCTGTCCACTAACTTCTTTTAAATTTCATTTTGGAAATTTTGAGCATGTTGTGCAAAGGCAGCGATCATCCAAAATAAATTTGGGTGGAGTCCTTTATTATACGTGTTTTATTATTTTTATTCTTATTTGACTAAAGACGGTACAAGATTCACATCTTGGATGTCGTATTTTTTCAAACCGCATTGTAATTTTATGGCTGATGTGTTCAAACCCTGACAAAAGTTCATGAGGAGAGTGCTGATACGGCCTTAACTGTAGTGGTGTGAACATGCTGCTACTGTATAGCGTGTAATTATAACATTAGACTGTCTTAAAAATGTTGTTCAATAGAGAATGAATAAGGTATATTTTAGATACACAACTTTATAAGCACTATAACCTCTTCACTAATTAAGCATTGTAAGGTCTATGCTGTTTAAACTGGCAAATTGCTGTTAAAAGCAAAACGTGCATTAAATACAATTACAACCTTGTTTGGTAGGTTTCTTCTTTCTTTAAGAAATGATACTGATTTTTAAAATACACTGAGTTGCCTTCTATCAGCAATCTCGTAATAATTTTGACCATTGAGCTGGCATATTGGTTGCACAAAACACTTGTCTAGAAATACTAAAAAAGAAGCAGGCAAGATCAAATCGGCAGCGATTCTATCATAATTAGCATGCTGAGCAGCCTTTGATAATTTGCCCTTTTGAATCTGCAGTGGGAATATTTGAGCTGGGGGAAAATAAGCCAGATAACTTCAGTTGCAATACAGAAAATAGCGATTGAGATATAAATAGCCCCTATGAATATGAAAAAACCCACGAATGGCAGAGAATCCCTTAATATATTTGTATTTATTAATGTTCCGGTCTGGATATGAACTGAATGTTATTCTGGTATTCACGGACTGTGCATTCGCAGTGCTCATCACTCTGTCTCAAAAAAGACGTAACAAACAGGTTTAGACACGTGTAATGAAAAAGCCTCCAGGCAGAGGTGAAGAAAGGCTGGGGGGAGAGGTTCGTCAGTATTTGCGATGCAGTGCCCACAGCAGGACGGCAACACAAGTGCACGTTGGAAAGAGCACGGGGGGGGGGGGGGGGGGGAAATGGAAAATGTCGTGTTTGTGTTGGATGGGGCAACCTGTCACCCAAAAGCCCAAACTGCTGTCAAAATGCAGAGTCCTGGGCATGCCAAGTGTCTGACCAGGCAAATAACAGCCAAGGATAGGAATAACCATCATTTTACCTGTCACAGCGCTAAGTTCAGTCAAAAGCAGACTGGCAAAGCTGCTTTGCTGGAGAGTTTACCTCTCCCTTTCATCTGTAGCCTCTCCATGAGAGCATTGCGCAGGGGAATGGAAACTTCAGGTCCTTCCTGCCAAAGTTCAGCCCGAGGGTGTCGAACAGCAAGTTGCCCATTTCGGAGAGAACATTCCAGCCACCGGACTGCCAGGCTCTTGCGAAATGCCTCTTGTGCCTCCCTTTATGACGTGGCTGCTGTAAGCAGCTCAAAGGAGAGTAAACAAAGAAACTTTTCCTCTGTAGCTTCTGTACTTCCCTTCTGCCATCTGGCTGGGAGCTGCCGCGGGGACCTATGGGCATACACCAGCCTTCCCTTTTTATCTCTCCCAGCATGTAAGGAAGGGACATAATTTTACCAGCTGCGTCACCCCGGACATTTTACGTATGCTTTTTACATTTTGGAGCAGTGTTACCGATAATTCCTCATGGTAACGGATGAATATAACCTGTGGAAGTAATGTTAAATATCAAATATGATGCTTATAAAAGTACATGCACAGCTGGGCAGAGGGAACGCGTGTCTCGCCGTGGGAAGAGCTAGCTAATGCTGTTAGTTTTGATGCTGGTATTAAATGCAAAGCATGAGTAATTTTGCAGCTTAATGTTCAGTACTAAACAGTAAGTGAAAGGTCAGTCCAACATGTTAACTGTCATGGAATAGTAAACGCTGCTTTAATTGCTTCATGCAGCCAGCTTGGATTTTTGCTGTGTCTGTTGTCATGTTTTGAGCAGCATGGTCCAGAACCTTGTCCCGATTACCTCCCCTCGGTCAAATGACAAAGCCTCAAATTAAAGAATAAGCTTTACGCCTGGGCTTTTCAGGCAGCATACTGGGAGTTTGTGCTTTGAATGGTTAAAAGCCACGCTGGGGAAGAGGTAGGGGTCATTTCTTGATCCGATTGGAGCCGAAATCTGGGTTGAAGTGTAGTTTTGCATTTTCTTCAGGTTTTCCTTTCTTGCTCTTCACTGCTGAAGCGCAGAAGTTTAGCAGCTCCTGTTGCACTTTCACACGTGCTCTGGTTTTTTAGCCTGCCCAGCACTATAGCAGATAGGAAACAACATATACAAATAAGAAAGAATATAAAGGGAAAGGGCTGCTACTAAGTTTCCCCAGGCCACGCCGGCTGAGAGCTCAGTGGTGTCCAGTGTGCCATGTACATCAGTGTCAGACGCACAACCTACAACGTCCCCAGATCGAAGTTGGTAGGATTCCCTTTCTGTACTGGCAGCAGTTCCGCCTTGACTTTTGCACTTAAAAACCTCTATGCAGGGAGTGACCTGTTGTACTGCAGTTACGCAGTTACGCAGTTAAGCAATGTACACATTGCAGAGTATTCACAATGGCAAAATCCACAGCTATAACCCTAAGGTCTGCTTTTTATGAGTTTGTTGGCAGAAATCCTGAAATTGTGCCTTTTAAGCAAATATGGCAAAATATTTGTTGAAAGAAAATCTGTATTTATAAATAACGTGCTGAATTCACAATGTAATTCTGCTATTTCTGTTCTTTGATTAGTTCAATGTATGCCTTGTGTTACGTGAGATAAACCTACATTTCAGATATTTAATACTTTTTTTTTGTAATCAAACCTCAAAGCAAGATTTGTTTCATGCAATTATTCAGGGAAGACATGAACTAAAAAGAAAGCTGGGAGGAATAGGGTTGCAACTTAATTTACCAGATAGAACTTATGCAAGATGCTCCAACATTTTGCATAATGTTGTAAGAAAGAAAAGGACAGCAAGGGATCATTCTGATTTCATCCTGGGTTTCAAAACAAGAGGGGAAGGGGAGCCTTACAGATGCTGTGCATTTGTATCGACTTGTTCTGATCTTCAGCTGTTCTCCAAAGGCATCACTTTATTGGCCGTGATCACCGGGGCACGTTTTGGCTCATCTGTTTCCCTCTAACCCAGCTGTGCAAGGTGTTTCCTCAGTGAGTAGGGATGCCTAGGGTAAGCCTGGCCTTGGCACCAGAGAGTTCGTAGGGAAATGGCTTTAGCAACTTCTGGCTGAGATTGGCGCAGTCCTTTCGAACTTTGTGAGAAACTGGTGATCGGGCCCTGGGCACTTTGGTTGGTAATGGTGAGGTAAAGGCGAGGGATGTGACTACGTGGTGTTCAGGTGGGGGTGAAAGTCCCTGTAAGGACGTTAAGTGCATATACCAATTACAGGTTCTAACGAAAAGCAAAGCTGCCCTGTTCCACAGACCATCACTTCTTGTCTCAAGTGGTGAAACCTGCCATCAGTGTGCCAAAGAGGGAGGAACATGCTTTTTTACTCCTCCTTACTTTTCCTTTGCACAAATACATAGGAGCCTGAGCTAAGGACAGTTAATCCCGTTCTTGGAACCAGGACTATTTATAGGCTGGGTTAGCACTGAAAGACTCCACTGTTTTCTTTTTAAAAACAAATGCTTGTTCTGTGCTGCATGTCAAGTGCAATCATTGCTGAATGAACTGACATGCAAAGCCAAGTTCTCAGCTGAACTGGCGTAGCTCCATCGATTTCAGTGGATATGCAGCAGTTCATGCTGGTTGGGAATTTGGCCCGCTGTGTTTGAAAGGGATGAATTTGTTTAGACCTCACTTCTTTTCTAATGTGATACAGGTCAAAAAAATTCCTACGTTGTGCAACAAGTAAGAGCAGCACGCTGCAGAATCTGCCTTTCCCTCTTCTCTTTCACCACTGATGAAAACTGCCATCATTTTCTGTGATTTACAATGTATGCTTTTTATATGGTATATCAGCCCTTCAGGAGGACAGACTTATAAGAATCAGATCTGGCAGATCAGATTAATAATGATGCAAATGCAAGATGTTGGCTGCTGACGAGCTTGTTGTCGTAAATGCTTGCCACAATCTTGCATTTTTTTTGTCCGGTATTTCGCTTGTAGGAAATTCAGCTGAGGATTTGTGTTGGGCCTGTGCCTGTTCTGATTAAACTGGAGAGAGTGAAATAATAGTGCTTTGTGTGGTTTCAGGCCCTGCTTACCAACCAGTTTCCTCAGATCGGTGTAACAAGCAAAAATGCAGTGGAGTAGTGGCTGGAAGATGATTAATTGAAAGATCCTCAAGACTGATGTTTCAAGGACATGAATCGATGTAGTGATGTATTCACTATGGTGATAAGTGGTATAAGAAACGATAGACATGTAGTATTATGTAAGTAATAAATGTAGAAATGCAGTGTTAAAAAATAATGAAGCTGGTAGAAAGTGAGTACCCATTCCTGGAAACATTTTTCTGGGGTTTGTTCTGCAGATTTTGGTCGTTGCACTGGTCCAGGGGATGAACTCTAGGGCAGTGAAGAGCAGCGAGATGAGGAGTCACTTGATAAGCTGGCTAGATACAAAAGGGAGCTCAGTTTAGATGTCAGGTCAAAATGCCTAACACGAGGACAAATACCAATGGTATTTGTGTAGTCCACACACACTGGGTTTTTGATTTTTTAAAAATGTAAATTTATAAAGGAGAATCACCACAGAATTGATAAAGGACGAATCACCTTGTCCGTACCAAGGGACAGACAGAGATATCACAAGTTGCATTTGCATTTGTGCTGGGACAGCTGACCCCAACTGTCAGAAGGAAGGGGGACCCGTTCGGCGTGATGGCGTTGGTCTTCCCAAGTCACCGTTAGGCGTGACGGAGCCCGGCTTTCCTGGAGACGGCTAAACACCTGCCTGCCGGTGGGAAGGAGCGAATGGATTCCTTGTTTTGCTTTGCTTGTGTGTGTGGCTTTTGCTTTACCTGTTAAACTGTCTTTA